CTCAGCAGCAGTAGACTTTGGTCAACGTTGTTGTTGTGCTGCACACTAGACAAACGCGTCTCACCGGTAGCTTGTGCAATGTGCATCGTTTCGGCATTCGTAGCACGAATTACCATGTGACGCCAATGCGTCTTCCGACGAGGTTCAGATGCACGGTCGCACGCAATTGCACTACATCCGTGAGGCCCTTTCTCTCGAAATTATCGTGACCACCTCTTCGACAAGGATCCCCATATCACCGAACTAAAAAGTCGCGGTCCCCTGCTGTTAAAACTTGTGTTACAATCAGACCTAACAGCACAAAACCTACTAGAGAAATGGAATAAATTGCTTTGCAGATTTCCAACGGATATTCTTCTGAAAGCAGCGGGGAAACCAGCACCTTCTAATGACAATTCAGTAGAGGCACAACTCTTAATGGAAACCCCAACTCCAGGACCCGACTCGGGGACGGTTTCAACAGTAGCCATAATATCCGGACGGGCACAGCAGAGCACGAGTAATCGCCGGGATCCGGGACGTCTGATACCTGCTTATATATCAAATACTTCTCGAGAGTATGCAACCCATCCAAAAAACGATTAGTCGCCGAACCTTTATTGGTCGGCGTAAACTCACTTGCTTCATCCATCCAATCTAACACACTTTTGGTCTCCGAGGAGCTCGCATGCAGGTACACGAATGCCCAAGGTCTACTTAGCAAATTGGCTGAATTAAGGCTGCGACTCGCGTCAGCAGCTTGGGACCTCATCACTGTCACCGGAACGTCGTTGCGTTGTGAGATAACGGATTCTGAAGTCGCGCTAACTGACATGTCCGTTTTCCGGAAGGATCGAGCCAGCAAAGGTGGTGGGACAGCCCTCTACTTTCTTAACAACCGGCAATGCGAACTCATAAACGATTCGGAAACAGACGTACCTGACTTCATTAAGTGTAGTATCCGGTTGAGAGGGAACGGTCTTGGCCTATTGGTTGTTTACCGCCCACCATCGTCTACTTTTGAGAAGGACTGCAAATTGATGGCTGCGTTGCGGCAAGTGATAAACAAGAAGTACAGTCACATTATAGTCAACGGCGACTTCAACTTACATGCTCTAAAATCCTAGGCAACATCAGGAAAGCAATTCAAAGCAGACTTGCAATATCTTGTCCCAGATTTAGCGTATTATGGCCACGTCACTACGCCCACCAGATGCAGGGGAATTAACAGGCCATCCATATTGGACCGAATATTCACCAATGAAGAACTGATGGTCGAGAGTGTGATAATCGATACTCCTCTGAGCTACAGTAATCATGCGACGCTAGTGTTTCATTACATGTGCTACGCAGATTATCCTAAAAAGCATGCCGAGGAATATCATGTCGGAACAAACTATGACGACCTGTACGACCTCATTGATGCAACAAGCTGGTCGTTCTTAGCCTAATTTACCACTGAGGTGGTCTGTTTAGAATTCGTCAACGTATTTAACAAGCTCGTGGCAAAGACATCTGAATCCAAACTCTGCCGGCCTAAAAGGATGACGTCTTTCGTAAGGAGCAGCACGCATAACTGCATGGCATTAATGGACTAGGCATGGCAAACTTACATAGTCTCCCCGAAAGACGATACTTGGAATGTCTACGCAATACAATGAAATCACTGTGTCAAACTCGTCCGGGAGGAAAAACTGAAGAACCAACAAGGTCAAGTGGAAAAGTTTTGCTCCATTCGCAAACTACTACACAGATACGTAAACAACTTGCGCCGTGTTACGCGCGGTATTCCTGCTCTGCACACAGCATGCGGGTTAGCCAAAACCCCACAAGAGGCGGCCAACATTCTTGGACAACGATTTGGCCGTACCTTCCAAAGCGTGCAATCATCATACATCCTGCCTAAGCAGATAACGCCGCCATCAAGCCTAAATCACATATCGTTCACCTGCGCAACTGTACTGAAGAGGCTGATGTCTCTGCGGGAGTTCAGCTCCCCGGGTGCGGATGGCATTCGCCCGATGGCGTTGAAAGTTGCTGCCATGAGTTTGGCAGGACCAGTCGCAATTTTCTTTCAACGATGTCTGAACGAGATGCACGTCCCCACGATGTGAAAGCACGGAATCATCAAGCCAATCTACAAAAGTGGCAGTCGTGCTGAACCAGCAAATTATCGCCCGATAACACTACTTCCTGTGATCTCCAAGTTTATGGAGTCCATTGTAGCTGAGACTTTGATGGGCTACCTGGAGAACAACAAAATTCTCGTTCCGGAGCAGCATGGCTTTTGCCAAAATCGCTCCTGTACTACTAATCTGTTGATTGCTCCTGCAAGCTGGACGGAATCTGTGAACGCTGGTGTCGGAGTCGACTCGGCCTATTTGGATGTCTTAAAGGCATTCGACCGTCTAGACCGTCGCATTCTTCTCCACAAACTCCAGAATTATGGAATCGGCGATGCTGTTCTGGGCTGGATAGGAAACTTTCTCTTGTAACGTCAACTGAATGTGAGGGTTCGAAGCAAACTGTCGGAATCCATCGAAGTTCAGTGTGACGTACCTCAAGGCTCAGTACATGAACCCCTCCTTTTCCTGGTTTTCATAAATGATCTCGCGAGAGTGCTATCTTCTAACTGTTTGCTATTTGCTGGTGATCTGATGGTATAGTGCACTATAGCTGCAGTGGAGCATCACACAGTGTTACAGGAAGACCTAGACAAAGCGTGCATATGGTCCATCGAGAACATGCTGTACTTCAACGTCACCAAGTGCAAAGTTCTCAGCATACGGCACAAGAGTATGCACAACTACCGCCTAGGACCACAAATTCTACAGCCGGCTTCTCACGAGTGTGGTCTAGGCGTGCTAGTTCATGATGACCTCGGTTGTTTGAGGCAAACTGAATAGGCATCTAAGAAAGCAAACCAGTACCTCGGCCTTCTTCGTAGAGCTTTCGGGAAGTTTGACCCTTCAGTCTTTCCAAAAATGCTTAGTGCGTACGTGAGGCCGCACGCGGAATACGCTATACAAGCGTGGCAACCCTGGTTCAAGCACCATCTCACCGCGCTCGATACTGCAAAACGTAGGGCAATGACGAGCGTCAGAGGTTTGACCAGCCTCCACTACCCACTCAGGCTGAAGACCCTCAAAATATACAGTGGACGTTATCGGAGTCTAAGGGGCGATCGCATAATGGTGTACCAGATCCTGAGGAACCCCAACCACCCATGCCATTCCCTTCTAATACTCAGTCAAAATACCCCGCTAAGGGGTCATCAGTTTAAGCTGGTCCCGCAGTACACACGCCTGGAATGTCGGCGAAATTATTTCTCCCTTCGAGTGGCACAGCCTTGGAACGTCCTCCCGGAACATGTAATTAATGCACCCACCCTATCCTTTTTCAAAAAACGCCTTGACGATACTCTTTCACATTTACACTACGTGCTATAACTCATGACCAACAGCTGCTAGCACTAATGCACCACAGACAAGGGATAGTGCCATAACCCTACTCGAGAATGAGCCACTCCAAACCCCTTGAACGAAATTCGATAAACGTTACTACTGTAGAAAGTGGATCTCTGTATCACCTGGACCTAAGATAGCTTCACGCGACTAAGCATTGTCTCTACTATTTTTTATTTTTTCTCCTTTATTACGTGATCAATGTCCACCTATCTTATGACTCTGTGTGCGTACATTCCAATTTCAAACTCTTTATACGGTAGTGCAGTTAAATCTGTAATCGCCCTAACCGACGATTCCATTATCCCTTGAGCTATCTTTTCTCACTCCAAACACCATACTGGACATGTCAAACACCTGCTATTTTACCCAAGATAAAGCGTTGTTTATAATTAAGATGAACTATATAGACATTACCTAACTCCGGTTTATGTCTGCTTGTGAGCAAGCTTCTCTTCGACTCTGTTAAAATGAATAAATTCTGTCGTGCCCACTTCATCGGTGGATTTGTGGCCAGCTTTCACTGACGGTGCTTCGTTGTTTTACCACCCACTAAGGTATATCGATATCTTGCAACAGCTACCATCACACCATGGTGAATTCAGCTTTAGAACTCTTTTAGGAATCTTGCTCATTGTGTAACTTCGGATTATCAGTAGGTGGTTGACAGTGAACCATGTCGGGGGGTTACAATCCACGCATATCGCATAATAGGCCGTGGACACTTTCGTGAACTCCACCATATTAACACAAATGACACGATGGGACAAGTTCCTGATAGCACAGTAGTGTCAGATATTGTGAAAATAGAAAGAAATTGGAAGTTTATCTACTTTAATTGGACAGGCTGACACCACAATCTTAACTGTAAATGTAGAGATGCGGAAAGTATGGGGATTCGGCTAGAGCTGCACAATATATTTTTTCTGCAAATAAATGCGTTTTCGTTTCAAAACCACATGTTGTTTCCACACCATTGCGTTTGCAGTTGCGATAGTACCGTTTCTGCTTGATAACGTCGTGCGATATAACGTGTAGTAATTTTGTCAGCATATTCTATTTCCACTTCTCATGGTCTAGTGACCTAAAGTCCAAAAATGTACGAATAAGATGGCAGGTTTAGCTTTACAAACATAGTTAGCATGCGCACTGCTGACGATTCAAGGAATAACCATGTGGCACAACAGAAATCTGGTAAATGAGCTAAACGGAGGTAACGTGTTTTGCTATCGGCTTCTACTAGTCCAGCCGGTTGGATGAAATAGCCAAGGCAGCCAGACAGAAATGAGAGCGCCGCACGATGAGCTGTGATCATAAAAATTTTAATTCTCATAAATCCAAATTCGTAGAATAAGAAAGGAGATGCGTTCACAAGGCCTGACAGCAGAATGATATATTCACTGTTCTCTGATTTGTTTATCACTTGGGCAACGAAAGTGTAGAGATCAGAATGAAAATAAGTAATCGATTTGTCTATCATAATTCTTCCTCTGTCTAAGTGAGAATAATGACGGTGTGCACAAACATATGTTTCTGAATGAAGGAACTTAATAGGTTTTACCAGCTTCGGAAGCCGATCCATCCTAGGGGAAGTGAACGCATTGGTTGATGAGGAATTACTGCTGATGATGTAGTCGTCTCTGCTGCAGTGAACTCGTTAATAGACGCAGTCGCACCGGTCGCGTAGCCTGCATCGTATGAATCGTAGTAGAGGAGCACATCGGCAGGGCATGTGGTGTGTGTCTCCGCTGTTGGATAAGCACTGAAAGGGGCAGAAGCTGCGAGCAAAAGGTTAGAAATGAGAGCAGAAATTGTGCACGGACTGAGAATTTAATCGAAGAAACAATAACCAAAGCCACTGAGTTCCCCAAGTACTGACGCACACGAATCAGAAAAATTATTTAGCCATCTTCCGAGGCCTGCAATCGGTGGTCACGTTTTGGCATAAAGCCAAATGTGTCCGTAAAACAAATGTGAGCATTTATCTTTGCAATGGCTTATCTAAATACAATTTGGCTGTATTTGCGCCTGAAGATATCCAGATCTAGGAATGTCGGAATTTCAAAATCCAGCTGTTAGAGTAAATGCACTGAACGTCAGCAGCGCAGGTCCAACTGGAACGGTACAAGAGTGGCTCTAGCATTAACGGTGCCTCGGAAGCCACCACCCACATACGACCTGAGCATACCTATAATCCCACAGCCAATCTATGACAGACAAGCGGTTTAACATGTGCATGTGAGTAGGCAGGAGCAAGCGGACTCCTGATATTCCCAGCTATTCAAACTAGATATCATGCAGAGTTTCACATTCAAAAACGGTGGTTTGAGGATAGCAGTCACAATTAATATCCCAATGGTCCCGGGTTCAATGTGCGCTAACTCTGTCTGATGAGATGTAATAAAATAGAAACGCGTCATAGTAGTGCAGTGTTTTATGGCGGGCAACACTCAATTTCTGTTTGTATCAGCTACAGTTCACGTGATCGAAGGGCCAAGGTTCACTTCAATGGGAATCGCGGTCAACATTGAGATTGCGCGTCGCAATCCATCCACACAACGTGTACTTCAAAATGACCCTCAACACGTTGTTAGTCCTTTAATTTACCAAGATATGCAAGCAAGGACACATAATTGAAAAAAATTTGCCAGTCCGACAGCAAAGGCAAAAAGAATTTCTGTTTCGCAACTCTAAATCATTCTCCCATCCGAGTCTGAATAGTTATCCGGTTCTTCTTGTGTTGAGTGTCAGATCAGAGTGAACTGATGGACTAACTGAGCGAGCCAGACAGTCAATAGGAGACTGGCGTAACGGATTCGATTACTGGACATGGGTTGGTTGACACGTGTGAAAGTTACGCACCGTTTGTTTAAATAAGTTAAGCGAGGAACCTCAACAACTCAGAAGGGTCGTTAGTTATGGACGTGAACGTGAAGATTATATGGAAGCTTTTGGCTTACCAAACATGCTGTACTTTCCGCTGAGTTGAGCTTGTTGAGTAAACGCTTGTCCTTGAAGGACTGATTTCGGCAACGATTCCGACTAACCGTTTCTATCGTAACAGGTTATGTTGCTCGTCATCATCATTACCATCACCATCATTATGAAGGTGCGAAGCGTATCGGATTAAAACCATGCCAACCACAGACATGTCACTCCTCATTGTTTTTGGATTTACTCCATCGGATTTTGTTGCACATCGTCGGATTTAAAGTTATTCGTCTTGTATTAGCGAGTGACATATATCGAAGTCATTCCGTCTAACATATCACCATTGCAGCCCACATTTGTCCAGAATGGTAATTTACGAGCAATGTTTAACTAATACACACTAGAACAAATTGATGGATCTTAACCGTTGCATCAACTGTTTGTTTCACTCGATACAATATTCCAACCGCGATCGAACATGCCTTCACTGGTCCACGTTCAACAATGTGTGAGGCAAGTATACGGTTAATAAGGTTTCACCACTGCGAATTACAATCAGACTCTCGGAAGGAGGAAGAAAGTAACGATACGGACTGATGTCTAGGAGACGCATAACACACCTCATAGGCGAGGAGTGGAACTTTGTGTAACACTTAAGTGCATGTAGCAATTATTTTAGATCAGGATGCCTGCACCATTATAACAATATTTGGTCACAAACAGCTGGCTAGCCGGCTTGTAAACATAATATGCTGTCGACGAAATTTTTTCCTTGTGGCTTTAACTGCCCCGCATGATAAGCAGCCGTTATGTCTAAGATAACACAGCAGTAGACAGTACTTAAACGTACCATCTACCAAAGGGCAACAGCAACTCGTTCACTGGTGTCTAAAGTCTTGAGAAACGTACATGGTGTTTCGCCTGGACATGGAGAATGCAAGACGGACGAGCAACACTCAGTCCTCAGTGACTTTATTTCTCGCCCCAAACTTAACTTTTACGCGCCAGGATGCTTGCTCTTTTCTACATTCGCTAAAATAAGCAACACCGCCCTCGAATAGAAGTCACTAGGTGTATGTAACACGTGTCCAAGCTGACGCAACTTATTTGGTTGGGTGTTCTAAGGAACTGGGCTGACCATCACCGACTATAGCCGTCGCTTTTGTTCATCAACAATACGGACACACTGATGCCATTCTATGCTATCGTTGCTCCACAGGCAACGATGACAAAAAACCTGAAGATTGTCTCAGCTCCTTCGACGGAAGGAGCCAAATCACAATTCCATAGAATAGGATGTACCTCACTGAATGTCTGTACACATGGCCTTCCAGACCTAGGAGAATCCAGTTCCGGCAGGACAAATAACATACACCAGTACAGTTAGCGAATTCGAAGCAATTGAAATGGTGTTCCCGGTGATGCTTTCATCGCTTCTTATTCAGCTGTTGAGATAAACTGATAAAATACCTTCACCTGATCCCCATTAAGCATCGAGAGGTTGTCAAGTGGTTGATGGCCTAGCAGCAACATTGCCGTTTGAAAAAGCGAATAACCTGCCATATGAAGGGACCATTTGAATGTGTTCATCGAGCACTGAATAAACCATTGCATGATATTGTCTAGCTAGCCGTCATAAGCCATATTCCCACATTCCATACTCAAATCATAAGCATTTCCGAGGAAACCCTGTATGAGGAAGTCCAGGAAAAAGTGTGACGACTGGTTGTCAGATATACGTTGGGTAACCCAAATTAGACTCAAAGGTTACCAGTCGGTTTATGTACAGGATGCATAACATGTTCACGCCCTTTATGGGAACACCATACTGATCAAGTATACCGAACAGAATGGATTAAATGACCGGATAAAATGTACCCTTGAAAACGAAGAATCTAGTCATGGCCAGCGTTCGACAGGCAATACCACCCAGTGAAAACATGACAGATGCAGTTGGATCCGGAAAGAAACTTGTCCGTTCTTTCCTCTTGAAGTTTGCCGTTACACAATAAAATAACGGACGAGAATTAATATAAGTCAATTTATAATTGCTGACATTGGGACGATAATTCTGTTAACACAAACGTCGCAATTGTTATGAGCAATCACGTCAATTGGCTGGGATGATTGAATTCTTCCAAATATGTTCGAACGGGTGAGCCAATGTCTTACACAGGATTGCACCACTAATTAGTGTTGATGTGAGAGAATCCGAATTAGCAGCGTGGAAACGATTGACTTCTATGATCGTTTTCAAAATTTAACCTCGGATGGAATCTAGAGACTAGAGTGTTTCAACTCAGTGATACTGCTTACTTAAGAATCCACTAGTTCGAATTGGCCGTACACTAAAACAAATGTTTTCTTCCTTGGTGGACCAGAAAACGCAACGCTCTTCCATCTAACGTCATTTTGACCCTACTCTAACGCTTTTGAAAAGACACGTTGACGACACGCTTAATAACTGTATTACAAGATATGGTCAGCTTCGATTGGAAGATCTAATTTCAACAACCAAATGGGATGAGTAGCATCCCCTTCTTAACGTAACGATGAGGAAACTTTCAACATTTCTATGTGAATGGCGTGGTCAGTCACCTAAAACCAAAATTTTTTCATTCTCCGTCATTAGAGCCATGATGTTGCAATCCCTAAAATCTTGATCCTACAGGACTTGTCAAGCACTTCATTTTTCACTCGTTATATTTTTTACTGTTCCTTGACGGAATGTTGATTTTGTGGTGGATATTTGTCTTGTGAACACTCAGTTAGGATAACTGATGGAGGCCGAACCGCACCTGTGAAACGGTCTTAGATTAAGTTTTCATCGAACAAACAAGTTTAAGATAGCTTCACAACCGCTCACTCGTCGCTATATGAATACATTGTTATGAATACCAACAGCACGTCCTCGCAGTGCAACAGTTACATCACGTTAACTGTTGTCCCCAGAAGGATGGCTTAAGCTGCACTCAGGATATATTACAACCAACCACCTTTGACGCAGGCGTGCGCAGATTTATGAACACATTTGAGACATCTATATAGCATCCAGACATTCCATATCCTGTCTCGGCATAAGGACTACTCTCCTAACCCTGGTGAGGTGTCACCTCAATTCATAATGCATAATCCACTCTAGCAGTTAGAGTCTGAATGTTCATCTTTTACTAGCGAAGGAGGCAGATGAGTTGAATATCGCCTGAACCCTTTTCAGTGAGGGTCCCAACAGGTCTTAACTACCGTTTTCTGCTAACCTAGATGCATACCAGACTCGAATATTTATGTGCTACTTTTAGTGGTTGTATTTGAAAGGCGATCCTTCTCCCAGTCAGTTATCATGCCCAAAATTCCGTCAGTCCTTTGAAACTGATTGACTAGAAACCACTTTATATGCTAGCAGCATTTACAGTTAAGAATGACCGATACAATAGAGCAGAAATGCTTCACTGTGATTAACATCGTTTCAGTTAAAATAATCCAACCTACCAGTAGTAAAGCGATGCAAGCGAAAACAAATGTACACGAAAGATTCGTGTGCTTAATTGCCGAGGCTTACCGACTGGAATCATTAACAGAACTATTCTGGGACCAATTCAAATGAGTTACGTGAAACTCTTTGGGATACGCTATTATAATTGGCCTGAATGGGTTGCTTTTGCGAGAAATACTGCTGCTGAAATGAAAATGGACCAGTTGATTGAATGCTTTTCCTCCACTGTTTCTGAAAACTGAAGACTAATCCATGTAGCTGGAATATAGCTGCCTTTTTGAACACGGTGACGTCCAGTGACGAGACATATTCGGACTTGGGATTGTTGACAGCTATCCACCTTCATCAAAGGACTGAAAGATGTAATGCGAAATTCATTAAGTACGGGTGGGA